GGGCCGCGAGGCGAAACCTCGGCTGACCCACCCAGCGTACGAGGCACCCGCGAAGCGCCCGCTGGCGGGCACCGGGCGAAATCTCGCCCGACCTAAGCCCCCCGCGCGAGGCGCCCATGAGGCGCCTACGAGGCCCCCACGAGGCGCCCACGGGCGGGCACCAGGCGAGCCCAGAGGCGCCCGTGTGCAGGCACCAGGCGAGACCTCCGCTGACCCACCCAGCGCGCGAGGCGCCCACTGGCAGGCACCATGCGAGACCTCGGCTGACCTACCCAGCGCGCGAGACCCCGACGAGGCGCCCACGGGCGGGCACCGTCGAAACCTCGATGGTTCACCTGCCCAGCGCGCGAGGAGCCCACGTGGTGCCCGCGGGCGGGCAGCAGGTGAGACCTCGGCTGACCTGCCCAGCGCGCGAGGCACCCACTAGGAGCCCAACACCCGGGCAGACGAGAGCTTGGCTGGCCCATCCGTATCCCATGTGATAACCCCTGTGTGTTGTGTGGAAGCGCTGTCAGGGGAATCGCATCAACAAGGCGATGGCTTCTCAACAGCAGCAAGTTTCTACTTGGCGGGGCCAGACTGTTAACTGGCGGCTTCTGGTAACCAAGGTGCCCCCTCGTCGCACCAGCTGGTCCCGCAGGGAATCTATGAATAGACCCTCCTCATCTCATGAGGCTGCCTGACGGCATCGGGCCACTGCTTGTGTGCCCCTCCAGTCGACGGGGGGGGGGGGGGGGGGGGGGGCAATTGTGTTTCCGCGTGCTCCCGTCTAGGCGAAGCCAGCCTTTGGCCCAGACTTGGCCATTGGCCAGCCCAGGAGGGTGCATGCACCACATCCTGGACATCTGAAGCATGCACACGCCTCAGGAGTCGTCCAGCAGCCCAAAACAGACCATCAACGCCCCGAAATGTTGCTCCTTCTCCTCCTCCTCCTCCTCCTCCTCCTCCTCCTCCTCCTCCTCCTCATCATCATCATCATCATCATCATCATCATCATCATCCTCATCCTCACCCTCTTCCTTGATTGAACTGTATGATCGGGGCCCTCGCCAAATAGACCGCCCATATGGCGCTGGTCTTTCAAGAGGGGCGCGTCTTGTAGTGAGAAGGAAAACTTGCAAGGACTTATGAAGAGGGGACTGGGGACGGGAGGGTGTACCGCAGCATCGCTGATGCATTTTGGATGTGTTATGGCCCTCGTCCCCGCCGAACGACCAACCCTGGCTGCACGATGAGCCACTGAACTTCACTGGGAGGACCGCCCCGTCCTCTCGGGGGGGGAACAGCGCTCCTGGCGGCGAAAGTTTGTTGTCCGAACCATCCTCGGGTGTCGGGTCCTCGTTTTGAAGAGACAGCGCCCCGCGTCACTTCTCCCCCTCCTCCCCACCCGCTGTCCCCTCCCTCCTCCTGTCATCATCAGCATCTTCATCATCATCATCATCATCATCATCAGCATCATCATCATCATCAGCAGCAGCATCATCATCATCATCATCATCATCATCATCATCACCGTCATGGCTCCTGTTTCGGCACGCCCCTCACACGTTTCGTGGACCCCTAGGGAGCTCCACCCACGGTCCCAGTTGCGCAGCCCGCATGTGGGCGACGCCCCCGTTTCGGCACAGCCCTCACACGCTTCGTGGCCCCATAGGGGGTTCCACCTAAGGTCCCACCGGCGCAGCATGCATGTGGGCGACACCCTCTGTTCGGCATACCCCTCACACGCTTCGTGGCCCCACAGGGAGCTCCGCCTAAGGTCCCATTGGTGCAGCCCGCACGTGGGCGCCACCCCCGTTTCAGCACACCACTCACACGGTTCGTGGCCCCATAGGGAGTTCCAGTTGAGGCCGCACTGCCGCAACCCGCATGTGGGCGACACCTCCGTTTCGGCACACCTTTCGCACGGTTCGTCGACGGTTCGTGGCCCTACAGTGAGTTCGGCTTGAGGTCCCAGTGGCGCAGCCCGCATGTGGGCGCCACCTCCAGTTCGGCACACCCTCCACACGTTTCGTGGCACCACAGAGAGGTCCTTCCCAGGTCCCAGTGGCGCAGCCCGCATTTGGGCGACACACCCGTTTCGGCACGAGACCGTTTTTTTATTGCTTGGGGCATGACGAGCGTCATGGCCCCCGCTCCCCCCGCCCCTATGACGTAACGCTCCCCCCCCCCAGTGTGCTCAGGGCACTGCCGCCGTGCGCATTGGGATCCGCGCAGGTGGCCGCGTAGGAATCCGCATAGGAGTCTGGTCCGCAGTCGTCGTCGTCGTCGTCGTCGTTGTCGTTGTCGTCGTCGTCGTCGTCATCGCCAATGGCTTGTCGCTCGTCGCTCATAGTCGTCGTGCGCGCGGACGCGGCTGAAGCCTGTGCCTGTTTGTTATTCTGGGCCGATGACGGCAATCATGATTTGGGTGGGGGGGTCGATGACGTCACGTTTCACGCCAGCGGCGTATGGGAATGCCTAGGAATAACGAAGGACGGGTAGCGCCAGCATGTAGGTGGCGATCTGCACCGCAGAGCCTGTGTACACCACAATGCCTGCGTGCAACACAGCGCCTGTGTACACCACACCGCCTATGTGCACCACAGCAGGCGCGTGCAACACAGCGTCAGTTTTGTGCCACCGTGCCTGCGGGCACAGCAGCTCTTGTGCACACCACAGCGCTTGCGTACACCACATCAGCCGGGTGCAACACAGCACCAGTGTACACCACAATGCCTGCGTGCATTGCAGTGCTTGTGTGCACCTCGGCGCCTGTGTGCACCACAGCAACCGTGTGCAACACAGCACCATTGTTGTATATAGAATGTTCGAACAAATCTTTATGACAAAATGGAGCGCTTGTGGATTCCACAGAACACAATAGAAACTAATCCTTATGGATTCAGGACAACGGAGCGCCGCTGGAATCTAAGAGTCCTCCCGATACCGCCCGCATCACACTAACTCCTTCCATCTGCGTCCAGGAGGCTCCAGGTAAATTGGCCGTCCGAGAACTAAGTGGACCGATTCAATAGACCAGTATGCGGTGCGCGCTGAGATGCGCACGTGCGATGTAGCGCCAACCCGCACGACAGGGGGTAAGGAGGAGGAGGGGGAGGAGGAGGAGGAGGAGGAGGAGGAGGAGGAGGAGGGGGAGGAGGAGGAGAAGGAGGAGGAGTAGGAGGAGGAGGAGGTGGTGGAGGTGGAGGAGGAGGGAGGAGGGAAGAACGTCGCATTCGATTATCAGCATTTTCCTGGCGTGGCGTCTAGTTGTCCGCAGCAGATCCTCACGTACATGCTCCTTCGACCTGTTCTATGCACGCAGGCATTGTGGTGTACACCAGCGTTGCGTTGCACGCGGATGTTGTGGTGTAGACACGCTGTGGCGTGCACAGGCGCTGCGGTGCACGCAAGCACCGTGGTGTACACAGGCGCTGTGTTGCACATGGTAGCTGCGGTGTACACATGTACACCAGCGCTGTAGTGTACGCAAGCACTGTGGTGTACACAGGCGCTGCGTTGCACACGTATGTTGCGGTGTACGCAGGCGCTGTGGTATGCACGCGCGCGCTGTGTTGCACGCGAGCGTTGTGGCGTACACAGGCGCAGTGGGGCGTATCGCCACCTACATGCTGCTCGCGTCGTCGTCGTCGTCGTCGTCGTCGTCGTCGTCGTCGTCGTCGTCGTCGTCGTCGCTCGTCGCTCGTCGCTCGTCGCGTCGCGCGCGCGGGCGCGGCTGCGGTGCCGGAGCCGCACGGCGGGGGGGGCGTTACGTCATACCCCCCCCTCGCCCCCCCCCCATGACGCCCGTCATCGCCGAACATAAAGAAACGCTCTCCACACCCCTCCACACGTTTGGTGGCCCCATAGCGAGCTCCACCTAAGGTCGCAGTGGCGCAGCCCACATGTGGGCGACACACCCTGTTCGGCACCACCCCTCACACGGTTCGTGGCCCCACAGGAAGCTCCACCGAAGGCACATGCGGCACAGCCCGCATGCGGGCGTTGCCCCACAGGGAGTTCCATTTAAGACGTATTCACACTTGCGGTGCTCACAACAGCATATGGTTGGGTTCTTCGCCAGGCTAATTTGTCCTTCCCTCGCGGCTGCGACGGCTGCGGAGTTGCGCCAGTTTTTGTTGCCAGATCTGATTTGCGTGATGTCGAAAGGCGTGGCTCCAGCGATCTTAGGCCGCTGAAGCATTTTTATTGTTCTTGGTCCCAGCAGTTTTTGGAATTGAGCCCGCAGAGCGGGAGTCACGGCGGGCCCACAGGGGGAAGCTTGCACGCAGATTTTATAATCAGTGGGTGTTAGGGGTATTGCCTCGACCAGGGTCGGTACCAGTCGTCGCAATGTTTTTGTTGGGCCATATTGCATTTTGAAATGTTCAAGGCACTCTCCGAGGCAGCTTGTCGAGGATGTCTCCAGCGAAACGGCCATGATTGAAACTCGGCGTCCCCATCCGAGGCCTATTTGTCGAGGATGTCTTCGGCGAAACAGCCATCATTTAAACTCATATTCCCCTTCGAAGCCGAGTTGTCAAGGATTTCCCGAGCGAAACCGCAGCCCCCTCCGAAGCCGAGTTGTCGAGGATGTCCCGAGCGAAACGGCAATTTGAGGCCGTCGGAGCACATCTTACTTGTGTTTTCGCGTGTCGCGGGAGCTGACGCGCGTGGGCCTCGCGCGGGGAGTTGCATTTCCCAAACAAGCCGGCGGAATTGGCGAAGTCCTCCTTAGCATGCCTCGAGTATGCATGCTTCTCGTTCTCTTCCGTCATCCTCCATCTCATCCTCTGCCCTCCGAGCTTACAACACGGCCAGGGCCCGCAGGGGGCCAGGCGAATTCAATCGCTGCGCTCCTTTCGCCAGCCCGTATTGTACGTTGTGTTTAGTGGCCTTCGGCCAGATAGGGTCGTGGACAAGAGGCTCGGCCAAAACGTTCTCGATAACTTCGCTTGGACTCACACTGCCTATCGATGCGGGTGGACACCCGGTGATCCCCTGCTGCCGGGAGCCAGGTGCCACGCGCACGGCGGGCCGGGGCGCAGTGCTCGGCGCGGCCGCGCTGGATGCAGGGAGGAAACGGGATGGAGGGAGGCAGGAACGGGGAGGGAAGAGGCGCTCTGGTGGTTACGGTTTTTTTATCGGGTTTGGGGGCGGTCTGCAGGGGAAGAGGGGAATGAGGGAGGAGGTAAGATGGACACTGTCGGCTGTCAAAGGTGAATGGTGGCCGGCCCGTGTTTTCAAGTGTGGCGGTCGTCTTCCTTGGATCAGTGTTTGGGGGGGCAATGTTGGACACGGCATTTATGCTTACCCGAGTGGGCAAGGCTTACCCCCACGCAGCCAGACCAAGAGGCTTACTGGGGAATCTTCACCGGCGTGCAGCCATATCAAGAGGCGGGTTGGGGGAGGCTCGCCAGCAAGCAGCCTCATCGAAAGTCGGGTTGGGGAGGGCTCACCCCCGCGCAGCCAGATCACGGGGCGGACTGCGAGGCCCACTCCCGCACAGCCACAACAAGCGGCAGACTCGGGACAGCCCACCCCGCACACAGCCACGGCGCGCACGAGGCAGAGTGATGAAGGCTCACTCGTACGCATCCATGTCAAGAGGCAGATTCGGGAAGGCTCACTCCCACAAAGCCATACTAAAGAGGGCAGCTGGGAAGTCTCATCTCCGCGCATGTCCACAAGCAGGCCTGGAAACGCTCGCACCCACACAGCCCTATCGCACGACACCCACTTGAACGCAAGAGCCACCATGTCATACTCTTTCTGGCGATGCTCCTGTCTCCCTTCTCCATCGTCCCTACATTGTGTTCCTCCCTCGCCCCCCCGTCCTCGGGAATGCGTCGGCGGCAAGCAGCGAGCCCAGACGACATTCCGCAAGGAGGATGAGGAATCTGACATTCAAGGGGGATCGGTCCTCGGTGCAACGACACCGCCACCCAGCAACGAGCATTGGACATCCCATTCTTACAGCGGCCCCGTGCCCCTACGCGCACATACAGCTAAAGACGGTGAGAAGTCGATGTAACTTGCGCATACCTGCGCTCAAGTGTCTCAACACAAACGCGTCAAACGCAGATTGGGCCATATCGAAGATAAGCTTTCGGAGCATACCACGACCGGGCTGGAGGTCGTTGGCGGTTCTTGCGCGCGGCGCCTCCATGGCGCGCGCGGCTGTTTCGATCAACTACCATCGCTTCTAAGAACATACGGAGGCGCGGTGTAACCGATGGTATAGTTTCGGCGCCATGCGCGCGGTCTCCTGGTGACCTTCAGCGCCGTTGCAGTATGTTATAATTCTTTCGTCCGGTAATGCCGCGATCAATGATCCGAGTGTTCCATGCTGAGTTGGGCAAAAGTGTGTTCGGAGTATTTTTGAGCATGCCCGTGGTTTCGATGGGTTTGCACACCTGGCGGGTCAACACCTGCATGTAAGCGCCAACGGAGCTCCGGCATTTGGGCCCCGTTCTTGTCGGAGGCCCTCTCACTTGAGCGACGCAAGAAAAAACGAGGTCGTCTGCTCCGACATTGGCCCGCAAGCTGCCAGGCGTAAGGTCGCGCTTGAGCGCCCTCGCTTCCAATGTAGCGTGCCGCGCCGGCGGCCCGCGCAAGCCGCGGCGTCAGTTCGCCCCCCGTCGCGGCGCGACGACGAGGCGAGGTTGACCCCCGTCCGGGGGGCACCCCCCCACGCTTACTACGAAAAACCCGGAGTCTGTTTTATATTGGTTTGATCGCCGATGGGACCCGTTTCTGATCGTCGCTCACCTGCTCGCAGGGCCGCAGATGATCGCGCGGCCGCCCGCCGAGCTCTGGCCGGCGCGTGCGCCCGGCGCACCGAGGCTGGCTGGGCACGTGCGCCCGGAGCACGGGCACGGGCCGGACGCGCGCGCCGCCGGCGTGAGGCCGCCGCCGCGGCGGCCGCCTCCGCCCATCAAGCAGTGCCTCCGCCCACCAAGGAGTGTCCTAAGAACCTTTTTTCGGTCTGCACGAAACGAATTCTCAGAACAGGCCGGGACGATCTCGTTTTAACACATGGGGTTCATGTTCTAAGAACAGTGTTTGCGTTATTCGAACATTTCTGGGTTCTAAGAACATGTCGTGGTAGGCCTATAGAAAATACCGGGACGTTCGGCCCCTGCTCGATCCCACGGCTTCCCAGTCGTCCGACGTTGGTGGAGAAAATCGATGCGGCCTCCAGGGGCCCCTGCCGGGGCCCAGGACAGTCGGGAGTATGTTTCAACCCTCTGGTCAGGACGATCGAGACGGGAGATGGGTACGGAAAGAATGGGCACGATGCCCACCAGCAGTTTTTCTTCATTTTGAATAGGACTCGCCGTTCGCGCCGCCGCGGACGTTGTTCTTTGAAGGCAACAAGCCGCCTGCCCAACAGCGGCCGCTGTCGGTTTGGGGCAACATGTGTTGTTGGACATTGTGCCCATTTTTTCCGTACCCGTGTCGGGCGTCCAATTTGGGGCTATAACGCGCGTTATGTCCCCTACTAGTACCCTCCCTCCCCCCTCGCCCCTCCATAGCGTAACGCTCCCCCCTTCAGTGCGTCCCCCCAGCACCGCCGCATTGCGCCCCCAGCACCACAGCCTGGTGTGGGAGCGCCACGTTCCGCTTCCTCCCGTCTCCCGCCCCCTTCCTCCCCCTTATAACGCCCATGATGGCCGCAATTAAAGATAATCTCCTCTGGGGGCCCTTGCAGGGCCCCAGGACCGTCAAGACACGATTCGAGGTGAAAAGTTGGCCCTGGAGCAGGGGTCGGGGACTCCCTCTGGGGATCCGGCACTGAAGCAGTCATGGCGTTGGATGTCAGGGATTTCTGCGGTCGCGGTGCTTCTTCTTGAGTTCGGGCGAAGGAGTTTTCGTGCCCCGCGGGGGCCATCAGAAACGTATTTCCCAAGACGGCAAACTGCCTCTGGGGAAGGGGTCGGGTTGGTCTGGCAGGGGACGCGCAAGACGCGAGTTCGCCGGCTCTCGGGCTTGCCGACGCCTTGGTGACGGGCCCGTCCCGAGTTTTTTGATGAACTAGTTTTCGTGGGATGTCTGCAGCGGGAGCCCGCGTCAAGTTTGCCTTGATCGGCTTGTCAGGCCAAAACGCGCTCCCCGAGCCCAAGTCTCATTGGGTAGCAAATCCTGGGAACCTTGTGAACCCTCGTAGTTCTGTCTTTATCGTCGACTAGCGTCGATTAGCGTCGAGGATTCGATGAGATAGCTCCGATGTACCGTCGGCCAGCGTCGATTCGCGTCGATGTAGCGCAGATTATCGATTTAGCGTCGACTAGCGTCGATTCGCTAGAGCCGACAAGATGGCATGGGAAGCTCCCATGCGCTGCCACAGGACATCCTGGGTCCAGTACCGGTGCACACGCCCAGCCTGGCCGGGCCAGGAGGGCACGAAGCCCAGGGCTCTTCGAGTTTTTCACAAAGAGAAGACACGCGGCGGAGGGCGTCTCCCCCTTCTTCAGCCTCTAAGGGGTGTCCCTGCCGGGCCTCGGGACCGTCAAGAGTGGACGATTCGGGATGAAAAGCGGGTCCTGGGGAAGGGGTCGAGACTTGTGGCTTGGTATCGCTCGGACGTGTGCATTTTTCTCGGCGGGGATCATTAAGGAGCATCCTGGACCATCCTGCGAAAAAACCGCGCACGAAACCGGAAAAAACACAGTGAATGGACGTCCGAGCGATGGCCAGGTGGGGGTCGACGTCATGACAGAAAATCAGGACGGCGGGGGTCTGGGACCGGTGCCTGCGGCCAGCCTGGCCACACCAGGAAGGCATGTGCCCCGACCCTGCGGTTGGGGAGGAGGAGGAGGAGGAGGAGGAGGAGGAGGAGGAGGAGGAGGAGGAGGAGGAGGAGGAGGAGGAGCAGGAGCAGGAGGAGGAGGAGGAGGAGGAGGAGGAGGAGAAGGAGGCGGAGAAGGAGGAGGAGGAGGAGGAGGAGGAAGAAGAAGAATAAGCCGAGGTGGAGGAGGAGGAGGAGGAGGAGGAGGAGGAGGAGGAGGAGGAGGAGGAGGAAGGGTCAGGAGGATGAGGGACGAGCAGGAGCAGGAGGAGGAGGAGGAGGAGGAGGAGGAGGGCCCAGGATCGGCCGGGCCAGGATCGGCGAGGCGGTACCAGTCTACACCCCCCGGGGCCGAGGGGGCACTGCAGAAAAGCTAAGGGCTGGCCTTCGAGGCGCCGGAGGGTCGGCAGTCGGCCTTCGCCTCTTCTGCGGAGGGCCGACGGAAGCACACGGGGGCGGCTCCGTGGGGGGTAAACTGTCGGGGGCGGCAAAGAGGGGGATGATGACTAGTGGGGGGGTGGATTTCATGGCGTGGGCCATGTTTTTTCCTCAGAGTTCGTGGCGCCTCTTCTTATTTCATTACCCTGTACGTCCCTGCCCCCCCCCCTTGGGCCACGCACATGCCGCCGGCCATGATTTGCACCACCCCCTCTTGGACACCCCCTCTTGACCGCCCCCGAAACTGGCGGAGAGCTGGCGGAACCGAGGCATGCCTCCTACAGGATATGCTTTTGCTTGGTGATTCAGGGCCGGATCGCGCCAAGTGGTCGAGGTGAAGGCGCATTTCGAAGCACGCGCGTCCATCCATGTGCGCCACCTCGCCTCTCAAGCAGTGGCGTCCTTCCGAGAGGGTCTATCAGAGAGTGTCCACGCGGGGCCACCTCGACATTTCTTGCCAGCTGCGAAACCGCCATCGGTGAGGTTGGCGAGGGCATTCAGTCCCCCCCGCGTCGTGAGAAAAGCACGGTTGCACGTTTGTGTTGGCTATTGCGTCTTTTGAAACCGTCATTGGCCTTAGGATGCAACTCGTGGGAGGTTAAATTTAGCGTCGGCGCTGGTATGTCCGTGGTCCCGAACCGGCCGAATCCCGTTTGACCCAGTGCAGCGCAGTTTGATTTGTCAAGTTTGATGAATCCTGGGCTGCATCTGGCCTGACCCGGCCTAATGGCACCGCAATCGGGCCCGGCAGCCGTGAGTTGTTCGTAGGAAGACTTCCCAGACGTTGCTTCCCAGCTCTCGGCCTCTTGGGGCCCCCACTGGCCCCCCGGTCGCCGTCAGAGAGCGACTCGGGGCGAGCAGGCGGTCCCGGAGAGGGGGCGTGGCCCTCCCCCCCCCATTCCGCTGGCCCTCCCTGGAGCCCACGAAGCCGGCGACAGCTGCGCCACTCGCAGCCACCCGGGGAGCCACGAGGTCTCGGCTGGACGAGCGTGGCCCCCCAAGCCGCTGGGCCATGCAGCTGCCCACGAAAGTGGCGACCCTTGCGCACCTCGCGCCTTCCTAGGGCCCCGCGAGGTCTCGGCTGGATGCGCCTTGTTCCCCACTCTGCTGGAACTCCCAGAAACCCAGACACTGACGACAGTTGCGCATTTGGCAGCCCCTCAATAAGAACGGTACGAGCAGGCGAAGCATGGAGGCAGGAGGCAGGAAAGGCAGAGGGGGTAGTGGGCGGAAGGTTGCGCGAGGAGTGCTGTATTCAAAACCAGAACCCAACACAGGAGGGCTTGGAAACAACTAAAATGTTTCAGCCATTCAGTCACCACGGGAGTTCCGTTCCGGTCAATATTTTCGCCGTGCTCCAGATGCACAGATTCGATGCTTCTTGGGGGGCTGTGCAATAAGAAGGAGATGCCATGGCCAGGCCATGGATCTCCCCGGGTGTCATGGCCAGGGCAATGAGGTACAGTCGGCCCGGATTAGTAGGTCGACCCTGCCAAATCAAGGGTACCTTTGTGCCCTGAGCTTCGCGACCCACGTCTTCTTACATTCCTCTGGCAATATGGCACTCGGAAGGGCCTTGTGTCCTCTCGCGTGTCCTGTCCAATCAATCCCGACTGTATTTTGGATATTGGCACCAACGCCAGGAGGGGTCTCCCACCGGGGGCATCACTGCCGCCGCCGAGGTCGGAGTCATTCTTCCTCGGTGGCGGCAGCCGCCGACATCCAGCTGCCTGCGGCAGGTCCCGCCGCCGCACAGGTCCAACCCCCAGGGAAACGCCAGGGCCGCCCAGGGATCCCCAGGAGCAGGGCTGGTGCTCGCAAGCGCGCGCGACGTGAGGGGTTGGTGGGCCCCATAGACGACCGCAGAAGCTCTGCCTGACAGCACTTCGCACCCTTCCAAGCCTCAACGTGCCCGGAGGCACGGTTGCGGATTGGCGTTGGTGCCAAGTGCCTTGAGTGTCCAGGGTTCCGCGTCCTGCCCCCGCCACTCCGCGTCATTCCCGACCGCGTGCACCGGTGCGCTGCGAGGCACCCGCACGAGATGCCCGGCGCCGGCCGCTTCCGCTCGTCCGCCGCGCCCGTCTACCCAGAGGCGCTGGTCGGAGGGGCGGGCGAGTGAGGGTTCTGACGTCCGGCGCCTCGAAAAAACCGTCACGGAGGCTTTTTGTGGTCTGCGGCTTCTGGGTACTGTTGCCAGGCCTCGGGACCGTCAGAAAACGATTCTGGATGAAACGCCAGACCTGGGGAAGTGGTCGAGAAATCGGTAGCCCGTGTCTCGAAGCGATTCCCGACGGCAGGTGTCTGGGGAGATCGGAAGCGACATGTAGAGGCAAATCGCGCAGGGGCGGGCACTGCGCGCATTCGCCCTGGAGCCTCGCCGAGCACATGCATCATCGGTGCTCCTGGACACGTGTACTGCTCCCCCAAGGGCTATTCGCCTCCATCTCCGAGGAGAGGGGAAAGAGGGGGAGGGGGTAAGCTACAGTCAAGATGCTGAAAGAAAGACCACTTAGGGCTCGGGAGGGGCTTTGGTTTTCGGGCCGGTCTTTCTGTTTCGGTTGGGGAACCCATGTGTAGCGGAGGTTCGCCGTGGCAGGAATAGTTTCTTCGATTCTTATTCGGAGTCCCTTATGGTAGCACGATGATTGTAGTTGCGCGCATGCCAGAGATCTGACATCTTACCCCTCCTACCCAGCCTTGTCCATTGTGCAGATTGTTGTTTGCGTTTCTCCACATGCTAAGTGGGATTATGGTTTTCTCGCCAGCCGCGTCGCACTCGCGTCACTCACCTCACCCTTCCTCACCCTTCCTCACCACTGCTCCTCCACCCTCATACCCGCATCAGACATACGCACACAACAAATGCTCACACATGCTTCGCACACACTACCAGCGCACACGTATCAGAGGCATACGCAGCACGATACAATACATAGCGCACACAGAGCCATACTGCAGCAACATACACACATGCTTCGCATACACTGCCAGCACACAAGTGCACATACAGCCGTACACATCATACACATGCGCAAGACACGCAAACGCATAATTATTACACGACACGCACGCCGCACAACACATTCGCGTATGATTCGCAGGGCGTGGCAGCCGCGGTGGTGGCGCGTAAGGGGGTGGACGCGCTATCCGTTTGCAAAGTGTGGCAGGCGTGTCACTTCCTCGACGCCACCAGGAGGTGCGCTCGGGGTGGGAGCGCTATCGGCTTCAGGCTTGCAAAGCGTGGCAGGCGTGGCACTTCCTCGACACCGCAGAGGGTGTGCTGGGGGTG